GGGGGGGTGAAAACCCAGAGGGACAAAGAGTTCCCGCCTTATGCAAAAGATATATAAAGGGGTGGAAGAGAACAGAGAGGGAGAGGAGCCATCATGGAGAATCCCCTAGATAACACCTAAGCTGGAACAAGAGCTGTACCAGGGGAAAGAATTGTGCCCAGGCCTGGAAGGTGTCCAGTCTGAGAAAAACTTACTGAAGCATCTCTGAGGGTGAGATTATCTGTATTTAGTTTGATTAGGCATAGATTTGCGCATTTTATTTTATTTTGCTTGTGACTTACTTTGTTCTGTCTGTTACTACTTTGAACTACTTAAATCCTACTGTCTGTATTTAATAAAATCACTTTTTATTTAGTAATTTACTCAGAGTATATATTAATACCTGGGGGAGCAAACAACTGTGCATATCTCTCTATCTGTGTTATAGAGGGCGAACAATTTATGAGTTTGCCCTGCATAAGCTTTATGCAGGGTAAAATGGATTTATCTGGGTTTGGACCCCATTGGGAGTTGGGCATCTGAGTGCTAAAGACAAGCACACTCCTGTGAGCTGTTTTTGGGTAAACTTGCAGTTTTGGGACAAGTGATTCAGACCCTTGGTCTGTGTTGGAGTCAGACAGGAGTGTCTGACTCAGCAAGACAGGGGGCTGGAGTCCTGAGCTGGCAGGGAAAACAGAAGCAGGGGTAGTCTTGGCACATCGGGTGGCAGCTCCCAAGGGGGTTTCTGTGATCCAACCCATCACAATGCAATTGGTTGACAGCTTTGGAGACATATTCTGTATTCAGAATCCCAACCACACAACTGCCATCAGCACTAGCAAGAGTTGGCCAATGGAAATTCAGCCCCTTTAACTCATACTGCCGTTACATAAGAGAAAATAGTTGTAAGTAAACCAGCCTTCTCAGCTGGGAAGTGAAGCTCTGATTTAATCCTGTTTACAGGTTATTGTTTATATTTCACTTACCTCCCCCAGGAGCCAATGGTTAGAGCTGGCACTGCTCACACAGCTGCCTTGCCCTCCATGTGCTTCTCTACCTCTATAGTTTTATCCATAAGCTTGCTTATCTCCTTGATGAGCAGTGAGGTACAGTGTAGAGACCAAAATTCGCAACAGATAAGCAATTTACAAAAGGTTATACAACGTGATGTGACCTCAGCTGGCTATCTAGAATTCTGCATTCACCCATCACCCAATAAAAAGATATTCGGACAAAGTGAAATGGACAAAGGGATCACACATGAAGAGATGACCATTTACTGCAGCTGTGCTCCAAAAGGAGCCAGAATAAATCTATGGCTTGTGATGTAGTAACTGGAGAAACAGAACAAGCATCTGGAGAAACACAGCTCCTCCTTCCTGAAGATTTGAAAGTTCTAAGGCAGTGGCTTTCAGATTAGAAGTACATGCCCTATTGATGGTACATGGAGTGCAATCAGGATTGGTTTACAGTATCAGAAGAATAATCCACTGTATCTACACTGATTAAAATTATGAAGGTGGCCCTCCTGAGTTGTGCTGTATGCTCGATCTTAGAGTACAAGAACCGCTGTTCGAGGCCTCTGCATCTCAGACTGTGCAATGAAGACACGTGATGAGACATATAGCCTGATTTTCAGAGATGCTGAGCATCCACAACTCCAAATGAAGAGAGTTGGAGCTGCTTGTATTTAGTCCCCCCTCCCCCCCCAAATCAGGTGCCCAATTTTAAACATTGGCACCTAAAGCCTAATCAGAATTTAGGCACGTAAACGGGGTGCAGCCGCACCTCCTGGCTTGAAGTGGTTTCCATTAGATACAGAGTTTACAGTTCGGTTCAATGGTTCTCAGCACCCCCACTATAAAAATTGTTCCAGGACCCATGCACGTAAATGCCCCTTTCATGGTACATTCTTAAATACCAATTTAAGTACCAATCCACAGGTGGAGCCTGAAGGCTCCAGGTAAAAGCTCCCACGTGTGCAATAGAGGACAAAGAGTTTGTTGGCTGCAGGGTGAAAAATTCTCCTGAGGTGAAACTGGTTGGATATTCTGAAATTAACTATTCTCAGCCTGGAAGAAAAAAACAACATAAAAGGAACAAGAGTAAGGCAGGCTTGGTTTTGCTCCATTCCGGTCAGCGGTGTTACACCAGACATGACTATGGCCCATTATATCTAAACACTAAAATCCAGGCCAGTAATAGAGTGGGAGGAATAAGACAAGTCACAGAGCAAAGCAAAGCCCCAGCTCTACAGAGTTGCCAGAAGCATTACTAAGTGGATGTAGGAGTGCAGATCCTCAGCTAATATAAATGTAAGTCAATGGCTGTAACAATTGACACCAGTTGAGGCTCTGTCCCAGGATGTTCAAGGGAAGCTCTGTTTGCTATCGACGTTAATTAGCAGAGCTGTGCACTCCAGAGTACGCTTTGTAGCTTTTCTTGGTAGGTCACATACTTTCCCCGGCCATCCTAAGAACCTGTGCTATGAGCAACTGGTAATTCCCTGTACAACCTGCTCCACATCAATGTCATCCCGTAAAACGTTACTCACTCGGGGGCATATGTTTGCAATGCAGACCCCCCCCAGAGGGTTGAGAATTGCAAGTTTGCAACAGTTTCCTTTCCCTGCCCAGGGGCTACAGGAACTTAGCCATCAGCTTCAGAGAGAGTGACTTTGTGACCCCGGGATTTAAAATGGAGTCCTTGGAAGCAGCAGATGGCCAAGATGAGTTGCTGCCATCAGCATTTCCCCACCAGCCTGCAAAATTATTGACATGCTTCTGTTGATGGAGGAGGCATTTTCTCAGTAGAGCTGGACTGAACCCAGATCCAAACACCTCCAAATATCGGGATGTTGGAAATCCATCCAGCTGTTGATCTGAAACTTGCTGCATGAGTCTATTGCCAATAAAAACATTCACTGACTGGACCTTTTGCTGCCCTCTGCAGGGCGGCACTGTGTACTGCCGGCCACAGCAAGTGAAAAATGGCCCACAAAGGAAACAAAAAAGTTTTGTCCGAGGACATTTTAACCCTACAGCATGCCAGTCCCGCTGCAGCACCGATCTGAGAATGCAAAGTGGCCTTTTTAACGTGGACTGTGAGCCACTTAAGAGTAGTCATGCTTTCTCTAGTTTGACATTTAGACTTGGTTTCTCTATCGTCCAGGTTTAACACATTGTGGAAGCCTGATCCTGTAAAGCACTGAGCACCCACAACTCTCATTCTACCTCAGAGGTGGCTGCGGCTGCTAACCATTGCCGAACCCTCATTCCCCACCAAAACAGAGCTTTACACTCTATCGCTGATTTAGAAAAGGGCCAGTCTCCACACCCTAGGGAGTGCAACTAGCTCTTTCCTGCTCTGCAGAGGAGCAGCAGGATGTGGGGAGCCCCAGAGGCTGCACCATGGCACCACAGATGTTATGGACTAACTGTGGGAGAAATAACTAACCCCTCCATGGAGGGGACAGGATGGGAATGGCTTAGGGGTCTTTAGCTTGCTGCAGGCCCATCACTAGGTTTCTGTTCCCCATTTATGCTGGCTGTGGGGTAGGTGCTAGGGTTTATCCTGGAATTGCTCACCCTGTGCCAGTTTAGAAGATAGAACAATTCCCTGGTAGGTTCTTAGCAGCACTACTGATCCCAGTAGAAAGACAAATCAATGATCACACCACCTGCTCCCCTCACCACCCAACTGAATGAGTTTTTCGGCAGCTGTTTGTTACTTTGTTTCAGTCTAGAACAATGAACGGTGAAACAACCTAAGGGCAAAACAACATAAAAGCCATCCTTAGGGTGTTGATATAGGCACTGCACTTTCAGGGTCAATGCAGAGTTCCTACAACATATTAGCTTTAAAATTACAGCCTAATTAATGGGTGGTTGTATGCAGGGCCGGCTCCAGGCACCAGCTTAACAAGCAGGTGCTTGGGGCGGCCAAGGGAGAGGGGCGGCACGTGCGGCAATTCGGGGGTGGCAGGTCCCTCACTCCCTCTAGGAGCGAAAGACCTGCTGAACTAACTCTGCTCCCACTGAAAGTCAACAGGAGTTTTACCAGACTTCAACAGAAGCAGTTTTGCCAGCACTGAGCACTTTTCAAAATCCCAGGCTTCCTATTTAAAGAGGGTGATTAGGGATAGTTGAATTAAACCAAGTAACGATGGTCCTGGAAGTTTATCTGTTCTGTCTACTTATTCCTCACTTGTAGTCATTTGCATTAACTCCAAGGAAAAGACCAGGAGGTCAGAGATCTGGTTCTAGTCCCAGCTCTGCCACTGACTTGCCTAGGGTCACATCACTTAACCATTCTGCACCTTTGTTTCCTCATTTGTAACACAACAACTTCCTGCTCCACAGCAGCGTGGGAAAGCTTAACTCACGATCCACAGAGCACATGGAGATCCTCCCTTGGAAGACCCTGCAATTGGGCCGCAGGTAATCAACCACAGTTGTGCTGGACTCCATTCCCTTTTTTAAAGGGGCCAGTCGCCCTGGGACACTAAAAGCTACTTTCACTAAGGACCCAACTATACAATCCTTATTCACGTGGGTAGTCCCATTGACTACTATGGGATTGTTTGCGTAAGTGCACAGCAACATGAGTAAATCATGCACGAGGGCTCTTGTTGATATTTGATTCCATAGTGCCCCATGTTTGTAATGACAGACAAAAAATAACCTGTGTAAGCAACGAATCACTCTGTATTTCTCATAACTGATACTGTCAAACAGTACATTCCCCTCAGCCCATCAGAGGACCTGAACTTCAAACACAACTTGGTCATGCTACTTATAATGTAGAATATGTAACAAGGACAGAAACAGTTAACCCCAGCTCAACTCAATGATTAATGCCAAATAAAAGAGAAGAAAAATTAAAATTACACAGATGAGATCCATATTAGAACTGGCTAATCCCAGCTATCGAGCCAAAGTTTAAAAATCATACTTCCCAGACAGCTTTTTTTTCCTTTAAAAAACATGAAAATAAAACATGCTACAAAACTGCACAGATACCTAGGGTTAGTGTCCAGTCTGAGATCCTCTCTGCTTCCTTCCAGTCGATCATGATCAGTGTATTTGCAGCTCAATAATATTATCAAAGAAAGTTTTCAGAAAAGCCCTGTTTGGAACCCAATAGGCTAGGAGAAGGCACCCCACATTGCATTGCATCCCTGCAATGGAGCAAAGTCCAATTTGCCAAGCATGGCCCTGAACAGGGGCAAACCTCAGTCATCTGCATCATCAAACTGGCCAACCTCAGGCATTCTATTTGGCGAACTCAGAGAGAGTGGAGCTGCATGGTGACACCTGGGGTTATACAATGATTCTTCTTGCCGTGCACATGATGCCAATAGACAATTTTCCTGAAGACTACCACAGTCGATATCTTCCGCATCTAAAGAGGATTTTAAAAAAATAGGAGAGAGTGTGGTTAGACTGCATTAGAACACTCTGCATTGGCTATCACTACAGAGGGTTTGTCGTAGCAAGTTATTTGCATCAGTTTGGCTGACCAACATTAGTGCATGAAACATACAAAACCTCTGAACAACTGGTGATGCAGATAGAGAAGCTTCAGTAAGTTACCTGCCTAAGATCTCACAGAGAGCCTGTGACAGAGCTAGGAACAGAACCTAAAACTCCTGGCTCAGAGTCCGAGAAAGAAAGAGAATGACAAGGAGACAGAATGAGCCAGTCCTACTGCTAATCTACAAACCCTCAAAAGGTTATTCATTAAACACACCATCAGTTTGCTCAACTGAAGTGTCCAGTCTGGCAAGACACTAAATGCTCTGATCGCCCAGTGACTGCAATGGAAGTTCAGGGGGTGCTCAAAAACTCAAAGGAGAAACCCCTAACTGTGGAGCTTTCAGGGACACACCCTGCAAACACAAACAAGTTTACTCACGTGGCTGCTCTTGGTGAAATCAGTGGGACGGCTTGTCACAGTAAAGCTGCTCATGTGTGTTTGCAAGATCGGCTTGTAAATGAACACGTTCAGGTCAGCAACTTTGTCTCTTTATACAACCCTCCAAACACCACTATTCTCTACAGGGATATGGCTGATAAAGCCCAGGGTGAATCTCTCAGGAGGGAAGGAGAAGGGTCCTTTAGGCAGGGGCCCTCAGCTACTGTACTCCCCACCACTGGAGGTCAGGATGAGCCCATCTCTCCTGCGCCAGAGCAAAATACAAGACTTATAAAGGCCAAACCCCAGAGTAACTCCACACATAAATGTGCACATTTTTCCCTTGCAGTAGCATCCCATAAGAACCCCACTGGCCAAGGAAAGAACGAAGGCTGTCCCATTTGAACACAGCAATGTTTTTTTTAAACTACTGTATTTAAGACTTAGGTACAACTGTGCATCACAAACACACAAGGTAGACAGAAAGCAGTCAAAGGGTGTCACTACCAAATGCTCAAAAAAAGAAGAATGTGAACTATTTAAATGGGCTGCCAGGCAAAGCACTCTCTCCATCCACTTAGAGTCGTAGGCTTGATGAAAGCATAAAGCAAATCTGCACCTACCGTATGGATTACATTCAGCATCCTCCAATTCTTTATCCCAGTCCTCTTCCTCGTATTGAGAATCAATTTTCAGCTCAGGGAAAGATACAATGCAGGCTTCGTCATCCAACTCCCAGTTCTCAAAGTCACTCTGGAAGTCATCAAAGTCACGAAGACATTTACTAGGAGACCCCGAGGAATCTGAATGAGTAGTGTCACTTTCACAGCAAGGGCAATGAGAAAATCTACTCTGGTGAGACTCGCCATCAGAAACGTTCCTTGCCAAACAGCCTGTAATACGACAGAAATTGCCAACAGAGATGTTTAGGACATAAACTGGGGTGGTGAAAATGCTTTAATACCATGCAGTAGTTCAACATGAAGACACTTTGTGAACACAGACCTGTTTTGAACAAGCAATGAAAGTAGCTAGTCAAAGCCCATGAAAACTACAACACTTCTGCAAGTTACAGCTATAGACAGAAATCTACCCCCAACCCATTATGCTGTGCTGAGGTTGCAGAAGGAATAAAATTCTGTAACACAAGAAGAGGCATCAATTCTATCTAATTATATTAAGTCCAATTTCATGTGGGTGTATTTAATACCACACTAATATTACTCTGGGTTTCAGATATTTCCTATATTTGGAATACATTACAGATAGCCTGAATCCCATCACTAGCTCCAAACTCTCCCAAACTGAACTTCACAGCTAGTGGTCTCTCTCTATAATGGTTTGAACCCAAAGTCTGGGTCTGAACTTTGCACCTTGGGCTGATGTCTAGAACTTACTGTCCTGTTTCATCATCACCACTGCCTCTTGACATCCTTCAAGGGGAAGTTTGTTGAATAACTCCAGCTGGAGCCTCCAAAGCAACAGGAATTTGTTTTGCAATATTGATCAAGTGCTCCTCTATCTAGGGATGCACAGAAAATGGGCAACAATAATTTAGCAGAGTTCACTCAAGAGAAGTTTCCCACCCATCATCACTACACAGCTTTGTTTGGCCTCTTCTAGCAGACAACATTAATAACTATTCTTTCTCACCTTGTTCTGATTTAATGCCTTTTTCTCTGCATACCTTTTCTAGGCCTCCAATTCACAATTTTCCCTCCCTTCACAAGCTCTTCTTCCTCATGACACGTGCAGTCACCTGCAGCCACCGTTATCTAAAAAAGCAGAGATACGGTTTTAAAGGGATCAGTAGCTTTGCTCCTTAGACTCCTATACAGTGAGACTCCTGTTCCAAAGTGAATCAGGGGACACAAGCGATCTACCTCTGCCCAAGTTAAGATTTCATTTTAAATAAGCTCGCAGACAGTTCCAGCATCGAGAAAACAACAGCCTGTGGCCAGTTTCACCACTGCTATTCAGAATCCTGCGGGAAGCAGTGAAATCGACACAAATCAATTTTAGAACTGCAACTGTCTGGAAAACCTATGAGCAAAGGCAGGCACTGGGAAAAGGGAGAGTTAATGGAATGGAAACCTAACCCCTCTGCAGGAGCCCAGATGCTGGGGGAGAGAAAGAGTATCTGATCCCATTCTAGCAGCCAGAAGGCTTGGGGAAAGGTAAAGAACAGAAAGAGAGAAACTAAGTTTCTCCAGGAGCAGAGCTGACCTTTTCCACAGGCCCCAAAGCTGGGAAGTATAAGACAGAAAGGTTTCGCTCTGGTTTCACTGGTACAATGGAGACAAGTTCTGCTGGAGAACTGTCTCCCACACTGGTAACAATACCAAAGTGGCGACAAGGGGAATATGGCAGAGCAACAGCACCTCTTCACCAGTCCATTAGTCCAGGGAAGGATAGTAAAAGAGATCAAGCCAGCTTGTGAGTTTCCAGATCTGCATGGAACTCTGAGCAACTGACTACATACATTGGGCTTAAGGCCAGTTGTGAGCAACAGGACTTGAATCAAAGGGGAAGGATGTGTGGATGGCCCAAAGTTAGTGATACGTGAAGGGAGAAGATAAACAGTAGGGGGCTACATTCTGTGTGTTTATATAGCTTCCATCCTGCAAGTTACTCTGTGCAGGCTGATCCCTGCACCGTTGTGGTGCTCCACTGAAGTCAATGGCCTATGAATAGTAACTTACAGGTTACTTAGTATGCAAGTTCTTAACTAGTAATAGTAATATATCCCCCATTCTACGTCAGGGAGCAGCTACTGCAACTCTAAAAGCCAACCTCCATATTGTGACAATGCCCCTTGGTTGAAATTTTATATGTGGGAAAGATTAGAAGGCACTATATTTCTTCCCTCTGCTAAAAAATAACAATCTTGTTTCCAGTAATGGGCATGGAAAACAGCCCCTATTTCCACTCTGTCCAAAGGAAAATTTAGTGTCAGTTACACACAGACACACACAAGTATATGTATAGTCAAGCTCCAACCTCGTGACATGCTTGTGAACCTAAAGAGTTAAATATCAGGGGGTAGCCGTGTTA